CAGAACAGACCAGCCAGCAAACTGTTCCAAGTGGTGCCTTCTTTTTTCTTGGCACACTACCCAGAAGGATTTGAAGTGCTCAACAGCATCTCTGGTAATATTTGCATACTTAGACGACAAGTGTTTCGTGACATGGTCACAGCCACCATGGCCAGCAGCCATATGTGCTTTTTTGATAATATCATATGTATCCTCGATGCTCACATAATATGTGGGAGATTCCTTTTTTGTCTGTCTCCTCTTAATCAGCTTCTCAGTGTCTCCACATTGCAGAATTTCGTATCTGAAATGAGGGAAATAGCAAGCAATTTATTAGCAATAATGCTGTGTATCTAAATGGGGAAAAACAGCAATGTATACACTTAGAGTTAAAAAACTAGAAAGAGTAGGCTCTCTATACTTACTTTGTAAGCAGATAGTATTCATGTCTTGGCTTTGACTTGGGATTCTGTTTTGTCTTCTTTATTTCAGCAATACTTGCACAATACTCTGCCTTTGTGATCATGTACTTGGAGCATTTCTTATACTTTTTGTATACTTCTTCTCTAAATTTAACTTCAAAGTCCTGAGGCATCTTCAGGAATGATTACTTAGCAAGTAGAGAAATCTGATTCAACTCCCTCCTTTTATGTACAACTGCTCTTGCAACAATTTCTGATGTATGATACAGTCATACTGTGAAACCAGTCATTTTGTAAAATGACTAAAATCTTCAGCCATTTCTCAAAATTACTTCCAGTTATTTTGCAAAATGACAAAAAATAGTAGGCAAGTATTATGCAAAATATCTGATCTCTAGCTTTTTGAACTTATTAGCTTAAATGACAACAGAAAGAGCTGGCTTATTTCATTTTATTTCCCAAACTGTTCAAAACCATACAGTATATCCCAGAGCAAAATACATATTATATTTTCTAAAATAAAGACTCTTGTGGGGTCAACTTTACTTTGTAAAATTTGCAGCTGTTTTTTATTTTTTATTCCATTGGATTGATATTTGAAATACCTGACCATCCCCACTAGAACAACAGTGACAATAGTTCACATTCTGTGAAATGCTAGAAACCATTAGGCATTTCAGCTGAAGACCAAATAAAGAATGCAGTCTATAGGTGTAATAAAATGGCCATTATTTTCTGAAATGCCTAAACCCAGTCATTTCATGAAAGAACTGCAAATCTCTGATTTTTTTTTTTTTTTCAAAATACCCACTTTCACACTATCATCATAACATGTACAGATTGTCTGCTGTTTGGGTTTAAACTTCTGAAGGCTAGTTTACTGTAGGGCTAGTTTTATTCTTGCAAGCTGAATTTAACTTACAAACTGCTTTTCATTACATGAAACTTCATGATGCAATTTCTAGCATATAGACACATTTCATGTCTTGAGAAGATCCTGATTCAGCTACTCTTTCTGTAGCAGAAGACAGGAATTGCAGTCTGTCTCCATGTATGTGGAGTTTGCACCCATTCGTGTTTCTGTGCATGCAGCCCCCAGGCTGGTGAGGCTCTCCTTCTCTCCAAGGGTACGATTCAAGGTTGTCCGCCGCAGGATTTTCCATCAATGCAGATACAGTTTGTGCTGCCCTTTCTTATTTTCTCCTGTGCTTTTGTAGCACCTGACTAGTGGAGTCTCTGTGAGGTCTCACATCTGCTGAGGAAAAGCATTGGGAAGACAAAGTCCTATCTACAATTCTTACATCTCTCCGTTAAGGATCATGGTGCCTGCTTCCCAGGTTCAGATGAACCATTTGGAGATGCTATTAAATTTCTGTGCTAAAACCTGTCTTGCGTCTTTTGTTGGCATTGGGCATGTGGCCTTTCCTGACCATGACCCTGCTGTGGATAGGGTTGCCTGTGGATTTGATAGCTGAGCCCTCAGCTGGTTGTGTGTTACCCTTCCCAGCTATAGCTGTTTTCTAATCCAGAACTATCCTCTGTGATCCAGAGTCAGCAAAATCAGGGTCTCCTTTAAGTCCGTGGTACCTCTGACCAAGCAGATGATGACAACTGGAAATTTCCTCTTCCTCTGTAGATTGTCTCCTGCATGTCAGCAGTTCCCTGTCACTGCCTCTGCCATCCCTGGTCACAGGAGCCACTTGGCTACATTTCGGATGCTGTTCTGGCTTTGTCTATGCTTCCATTTTCAGGAGTTATTCAGACTCTTCTTCTGTGGTATTGCCTGGCAGCACCTCCACCCCTCCTCAGCCATCCTGGGGGAAGCGAGCAGGGAGGGTGCCTGGGAGGGTGGGAGAGAGCAAGAAGCCAGTGAGGGGCAAAGCAGGGGGAGGCTGGAGGGAGCAGCAACTGGTTGCCCCTGCAAGCCCTGTCAGCACCCTTGCTGGAATCACCACCTCAGTCACCACCTGCCAGGGCAATTCCTGCCAGTGTTAACCAAGACTTCATTGTCTCAGGATGGAGGCAGGCTTTCTCTGCCAGGCACTAACTTCCACAAAGCAAGAGAAGTGGCAGATGTAAAGTTTGCATAGACAGTCCCATAGAAAGCATGACATGACAGTATCACCAACTTAAAGCATGGAATTACAACCCCCTAGTTCTGCTCATTATCATCCTGAGTTAGCACTAACATCATTAACATCAATTTTTATTTAGAAAAAAACCCAGTATCTAGTATTTTTTTGTGGTGCTATGGTGCAGGGTATTGTGAATGTGTACATTTTTACAAGACTTAAAGAACTTGTGATTTTAACACATACATGAACAAGATTGATTAAGCTGTATGGTCAGGAGGTACTGTTTGCAAATGTATGTTCTACTTTTTGAAAGTCTTGCCAAATTCAGATACAAAATGCTTTTCATTTATATACATATTTGCAGGAAGAACTTGCTTAACTTTTTCAGCACATAGTCATTTTGTTTGTTAAAAACTTTATTATGGCTGAAGGGTTATAATATAACGTTACAAAGGTATGCAGTGCCTACAGAACACATGCAAGGTACTTTCTTCCACCAATGATGTTGCTATAGGAGGAAACAGAGGTGTTGTGACATGTTCCATCTTCTTTCCTGCCACAAGGCAAAAATGCTTTGTTCACGTAGTTTTAAAATAAATCTGGATCAGAGCAGTTTATCGCTTTCTTAATGGCACATAATCAACTGGTAGTGAACTACACATTCAGCTGGATTCCTCCCATGTTATGAAAGTCTCTGTAGTTCCCCGACTACTGTTGAATCAGGCTGGTAGTTTTCTTCCTCTTTACCATGGTCCTTTTGGGGCAAATGCCTTCTCAGACCGTTTTGTCTCAGATCCACACACACTGCAAGCTTTCACATTTCTATCTTTCCAACTTTCGGTGTTACACAGCATTATTCAGATGCTGTCCTGAAAATACTCTCCCATGGTCAGACCTCCTGAGAGATATAGAGGAGCTTGAAGCAAGACGGAAGACAGGGAAGAAAGACTATAGAAGAGATGGGATCCTATAAAGTAACGATGTTTGGTGGGACCAAAAGTAACGAGCATAGCAGTAAGATTGTACAGGTACAGCAAGGTCAACCAACAGTTATTTGATTGCTGCAAGGTCAACCAATAGTTAATTGATTGCTGTCTGATGAGCAAGAGATGTTGAAGGTGAAGTAGAAAGGAATGGAAAGATTCAGAAGTATGAAAAGGTGGACTTCAACAGCATCATGAGGAGACACTCTCACTGGAAATTAATCAGCTGATAACCTCTAATTTGTAAAATAATTATTCCACTCACTCTAGATGAAAAAATGTGACCTCATGCAGATGGGAGGAAGAAGAAAGATAAATTAGTCATTGCTGTCTTGGGTTATAGCAGTCAGAGATTTATACTCTTTTTGGGGGATAGGTGTAAAGCGACTGAGACATGAAAGCCTGAATATCTTTCATAGAATTATTTTGATTATTTTTTTTCCTCTTTTCAAGTGGAATTCAATTCTGTCTTCAGAGATAGCAACTTACAATGCCTCTGAGATACAAGCTTTTCAGCTGCACCAGGTTTATTAGCTTTTTCCATCCCTCCAATCCAAGCAGTAGCATTTTAATTTCTTCCACTAGTACTAAATTTATAGAATTGATTTCAAGCTAAAGATACTGTGAGTAATTAGTTATAAACTTCAGAACTGCACAAAATCAACATAGGAGAAAAAAAAATCATTGTTACCTTGGAGACCTAAAATATTTGACTTTTTAAGAGAAGACAACTGCTGTCTGAATGATCTAAATAAAATGATCCCCACTGTTAACTTTTTTTTTTTTTTAATTGAACAATTCTGTAAATAAAGATACAGGCTTTTGTTTGAAATGACAATGTTCATTTCAGTAACAGTGTGTCATTTTTGTTGTTGGAGACATTTTCATGATGTGTGAAGGAGAACAAAGCTCTCTTCTGCTGCAGTGATACAATCCCCAAAAGGTGATTTTGATAAAATCTTTTAAGAAATAAATATTTATTGCTAGTTTGTTTTTAAAGAGTTGGTTTAATTGTTCAATTCATTTAGAAAGTTATACTTGTCTTTACAGTGAAGGAACAGACTTACTCAGGAGGAACAATAGCTTCCCTGATATTTTATGAGAGCTTGTGGGGAATAAGTAAGAAATGTATGTGGAAAACTATATAGATCTTTACATTTCAAAAATTTGTACCTTGTTGCATAAAAAACTGCTTTTCTACTTGTGTTTCTATATACTTTGCAAATTCTCTTGAGTCTCCTCCTAGTGCCTTTGACTTCACAAACCTTGATGTAAAAAAAGTAAGACAGAAGAGCCAGTGCCCTTTGCTCCCTCTCCTCCAGGTTCATCCACAACTCACAAGGTAGCACCATGAGAAAATCCCAAAGGTAACATTCCAGTTTACCAGCTGAGACACTGGAGGCGGTTCACCCCATTATTTTGGGTATCAGGTGTGCAGAGCCCTGTGCAAGTGTGTTGCACTCTTTAGAGGAGGGGGTTTGCCATGCCTCTCCAGCACCATGCTCCGCCAGGTCCAGGTCCGTGCACGCTGCAGGTTGACGCTAGCAGCAAGACAACCTGCTGCGGAGCATGCCCATCTTTTGCTTGAGCAGGCGGCTTCCGCTCAACATGAATGACAGCAGGTCAAGACAGCTGAGGGCAGTCAGACTCAAAAAAACTTCATTGTAGCTTTCTAACTGGCCAGAGTCATCCACGTGCTGTATGTAGTAGGCCCTAAAGAGGTGATAGGGAAGGAAACAGATTATGATGACGCAGATGAAAATCAAGTTTTTCACCTGGGCCAAGAACTCTTGGTGTGACCAGAGGGAGGTGGAAAGTTTTCTCGCCACTTTTACTAGGATGAAAATCTGCAGGCCCAAGAGAATACAAGTAATGCAGGAAACAACTGCAATTATGGTGTAGTTCAGGGCTTTCACGTTCTCATGCTGTAGTTCTTTGTGGAACTTAAAGCATGTTGTATCACTGTATGAGCCTGAGCGTCCATACTCAAAGGACAGGACTGGCACCACGAAGACCATGACGAAGACCCACACGGCAGTGCTTGCTGCAATGGCATGCAGCTTCCTGTAAAACTCCACCTTGTCCTTCCACTGAAAGAAGATGAGCCACCGGCTCACCAGCGTGATCACATAGAATAGGAAGGTCAGGTACATGTGGATGTGCAACATCGCACTCACGATTTTGCAAAGTGGCATCTTGAATACCCACTTCTTGTTGACATAGTAGTGCAAGCGGAAGGGCACCGTGAAGAGGAGGAGGCTGTGCACAACAACCAGATTAATGATGGCTGTAGTGGTCACGGACAGAGTGTTCATTGTGACCAGCACAAATGACATTGTGATGGACCCAATCCCACCTCCAGCAAAGGCAACTGAGTAGGCAGTAATCAGTATGGCACTCATGGTGTTGGTGTGAGTGAAGGCAGAGGAGGAGTTACTGCTGTTCCTATTCTCTTCAATCATGCTCCTGAAATCTTCCTTGTACATATTCTGGAAATGAAAGAATACATAAAGACTAAGATAAGGTAGGAATGAGAGGGCCCACCTGAAAAGCCAGCAAGGCTTTCCACCTGGATCTTGTTCAAGGGATAATCCTGGAATCGCACAGCTGGCACAAGCTGTAACCAGTAGCTTTATCCAAACATCCTCCAGCCTAGAGAAAAATGGCTGAGAAGGTGGGTGGAGAAGCTGCTCTAGTCCTTAAGACTATAGCTATACCCTTTAAAACAAGCATGAGTTAGTAATATGTGGGAAGAAGAGATCCCTAGAGAAATGACATGATTGTGGTGTTTTTGTGCTGTGTTATTAGTTCTCCCCTCTTCTGAGCATCTGCATGCTTTTGCAGTGACGATCAGAGATATTGTTCGAATTCTGCTACTCATTCATCAGTTTCTTTATTTGCAACACAAATCTGCCCTTTCCAGAGTCAGATAATAACCATATGTTGCTCTATCAAAGCTACAAATTTTGTTGTTACCGAAAGCCGAGTTTTGCACACATTACATTCAACTCCTTCTTCATGGACAGTTTATCTGAGTAAGGGATTAAACACCATGGATACCCAGGCTCCATGGAGATCTTGTTCAGATCCTGCCAGACGACTAGCGTGGGCAGTGTTGCCCTGGTGGTCAGGGCTGTTTCACATCTAATATGTGGTAACCGGGTGTTACAAAATGGGCTGTTAGAAAATGTTAGGAAAGGACATCCTGGGCTAGTGCAAATAAACCTGCATGGCCTGAGCTGAGGCTAGATGAAAGTTAATAGCAAGTTCAGTAAGTACATTATACATTTTTAATATACTACTGTTTCAAAGAGAGATTAAATATAAATCTTATAAGTCTAAATGTAACTTCTGGTAGGATTTTTAAGTACTACAAGATCGTGTGGGAGGGGAAGAGTTCAGGCAGGGTGTTATCCTGAAGCATGTTTGCATCTATGAAAGTATCAAGAGGATGTCCACACTACAGTCACAGAAAAGAAGCAGGGAAAAATGAACAGTGCTGGGCTCTGTACTATCCCAGTTATACTGCTACTGCCACCTGAACTATAATTTAAAACTGACTCTGGTATGTCAACCATTTCACCAGTGAATCCCACAACACAAGAGGGGCTTTTCTCCTGAGCGAGTTTTTTGCAATTTTTCTTTTAATACTGCAATGTTGTTAACTTCACAAAGTAGTTCCTCTATCTCTTTGTACAAGTGGTGTTTCAGCTTATTTTTGGTTTTAGGTAGCACATACTGCCAGTAGTTGGGAGGGGGAAAAAAGTTCTTTAGCAGTTCTCTCTTTTGTGGAAAAGAGGAAATACCTATAACAGTTTTATAATCTGGCTTTGCTCGCAGTGGGGAATGAACATCTGTGATGCATCTCAGATATTTTTTGTTTTTTCTTAGCAATATTTCTAGAGCATTTGCCCCTACAGTAATCAAGACCTGTTTATACGCTGAAAAGTCAGTTATTCTCTAGTTATCCCAATGCATCTAAGACTCCAGATATTTCATTGTAATCAACATAAATATAACTGCTACATCTCAAATTGATGGGTTGGTTGTTGGCGCTTACTGACCTTTTCTGTTTGAAACTGCATTTCAGAGTTATGTGGACTATTCCAGTAACTTTAATTCCAGTGCATTATGAGAAGTAAAATGGGTTGCAATGAAAGAGCTTTTTCTCAAAGGCGCTGCTGATTGGCACACTGCGGCTCTTGCATCAGAAACCATGCAAGTTCCTTCCAGTTCTGTTCTCATTTCTGAGACGTTGCGTTTCAGCCTCACAACTGTGCAAGCCAGAAGGGATTAGCAATACCTGTTCATCAGTTTCTCCAAGTCGTTACTCTTTAGTTCGAAAAGATGTCTCTAAAAAGTGGCATTATCGCACTGTTTTAATTTAAAATGCATACTTAAGCTTTAGAAAGTGCCACAGCCCTAAAGACAACATACTGGAAATGTGGGTTGCTGTGAGTAGCCCCAGCAGTGAGGCTGCACTTGGAGAGGAAGGACCCCTCGCGGTCACAACTTCAGAGCCCGGCAGTGAAACTTGAACTGAAGGCGGTAAGAAACAGATAAGCAGAAGTCAGATAACTGGTATTTTCCTCAAACAGCCCTATTGAGGGGACAGCTAGAGATCTATTTCTGTCTGCAAATAAGCAACCAAGACACTGAAATGCAGGTTTCTGCAGAACTTTGTGGTCATCACTAAATCCCTTCATTGTAAGATTCTGCAGGAAATCTCATTTTCATTAATCTTCAATAAAAAAAGCTACCAGCAGCTATGATACGACATTATCAGCTCCCCACTACTACAGGCATCCCACTGAAATATCATTGCATGATGAGTACAGAGTGTTGCGTGATACAGGGTGTGTTTCACAGAGGAAATGCTGCTTTCTGGTGAAATGAAGATTCCTATTGTAATGACATTCACATAGCTGTAACCTACTGACCTGAAATATAACTAACAAGTCCTTTGGCCAGAATTTAACAGGAGACACATGGAATGAGAATGAATGCAGTTTTTACAAAAGACTAATTAATTACATAGGCTATATACTGAACCAACTGGAAACATGACCTATAGAAGTCTCCAGGAGCCAGAAAATATCTCACAGAAGAGGAGGAACAACAGAAGGGACCACCGAAAGTGGTATCAAGCAATGTAAGAAATGGCCTTCCCCCATGCTGCTTAGCCCCTTGCCAATGTCAGCTGGTGTAAGCTCTTGCCAGCTGTAACAGCATTGCTTCAGTACTGAATCTAGCTTGCTTAAAACTAGCTTTTTTAACTATCTTGCTTTTTTCAGAGTGGCTGTACCCTGTCCCACAGAGTTACAGTTGAGTGTCATCCCTTCTTCCCTCCTCCCCTCACACCTCCTGGCCCCAAAACAACGTCTGCAGCACCAAGGAACTCCTTCAGGACGGTACCTTGCAGCTTTGCCTCACCCAGACAGCTTCCCTTTATGCACACTAATGTTAGCTCTTGACATCTGTAAGAACAGAAGGAGCATTGAGAGGACTTACCCCATCATGCATCCAAAGGCAGACAGTTTCTCCTCAAGGAGGTGTTCTTGTTTCCATGCCTTCCTACCCCCTCTAGCTACTGCCAATTCAGTGATACTGCTCAAGTATGGGAGCAAGGTTTGGTCTTCCTCTGTGTTAAGCCTCTCATCTAAACTTGGCTAAACTTCTGTCGGGCATGTGCTTTGAACAGCCATGAGGCAATGATGGGCACCACTTCATCTGAATGCCATAGTAGTTAAAGAGACATCTACTAGTGCCAAGGGCTTGAGGACAATTGCCAAAGTAGCTGTGGTTTAGTTTGACAAAGGAGGTAGATTGCCAAGAGGCCAGATGCTGGGTTCTTTCAGAAATATGATCAGCAAAAAGACTCTTGTGCATTCAAGATTCATCAGTTATCAGTGTGGTTAAGGCCATCACATTCATTTCCTGTGACTTTCTGTGCAGCACAGTCCACGGGACTTCCTTGGACTGCTCTTTTCTGGCCAGAGCATGTAATTTATGAAAATGATTTGGTCTCTGTCAAAATTTTCCCAGTAAAAGAACATTCATTCCAACCCTCAGGAACTGTTTCTCTTTTATCCTACTGTTAATTATCCTACTGTTTAAAAGAAAATGGTGAGCCATATTTCTAGACAGAGTTTGCACAGCCTCAGCTTCCAGGCATAGTACATACTTCTGGTTTTGCCTTCAGATTTAAAAAACCTTTGTCAAATTTTGGCTTTCCCTAAAGATACCTGGAGATAAGTAGAGATAAGAGATAGAAGATACTTATCTTCACTTCCTCCCAGTCATATTTGTTCAGTCACTGAACTGCCTCCCTCAGCACTGTGCTCCTATTCTTTGGTTCTTAGATGAACAACTTTGCATTTGGCAGTGGTAAAATGCATGTTGATAGTTTGCACCTGACTTAGCAATCAGGATCAGTCTGTCACTGGCTTGTCCACGTCATTGCTTACTATTTTCCCAGCCAGGTTCATCAGTCACCATTATATCAACATTATATCAACTTATCAGAAAAACCCCACTCATTCGTCAAAAATGATGAAATTCTTACTCTCTGCCAAATAGTGAGCTCTACCCTCTGTATAACAAGTGTTTGCAAAATTTATCCCCCCTATATGTCTGCTAAGGGACTGGCAGGCTTCACACAGATTTTCATGTGCTCCAACAGTTGGATTCTGCAGAAGCATTTGCAGCCTGCATGCACTCAACTGAGAAGTTTCGTTTGAATTTGGAGGGGAAAAAAGTTCAATTCGGATGAAAGATTTCTATTTTTGATAGACTTAATAAAATGGAAAAATGAGTGTTTGTCAGAACTGACATCTCTGCATTGAACTATACTAGGTTGGAGGCAGTGCAAAATACAAATATTATTTAACAGAAGTCTGTTTAAAACGTGCATTTGTTTCACAAACATCCTCATTTAGTCTCAGAGCTGCTTTCTGTTGAGAGCATTGTAATTGCTTTTGATTTGCTGTAATTCCATGTGGTGTTATGGTAATATAGGCTATGTCACTAGAATAATTCAAAATAACCACACACACCTGAAGTTTGAAGTATAAACATCTGCTTAAAGGAAAACATTACAAATTAAAAATATGAAATATCAAGTGTGTGTTTACATTTAGATATTGACTTTCTTCAAGCAACTTTTAGTGATTCCTCTAATTCACTAGCTCATTGACTCATGTCTTATAGGCTGTGCCATCATTATACTGATACTTTTTAGTTTAAATCCAGTCTATTGAAAAGTAAATGGGATGGAAAAACATGTTGAGTTAGTCCTCTTTGGTTGAGATCTTGCTGTTTTTACACAGAAATGGAACCTTGCTAAAAATAATTATTTACCTTCCTAGCTGTATCTTATTAAAGAGAACAAACTTACCCTTCTGGTCTTACAGAGATGGGTGATATCAAACACATGCACAAAGATGGATGAAAACAAAAAGAGTCACCTCCCACTTTTAGGAGGCAGTGTAGAACTACAGCACAGTAATTTGAAAAAGGATAAACAATGCTTTCCTGTGCTAGGAAATTACAAATAACAATGATGAAAACAGTCATGCAGAAAAGCTCTAAAATAAAACAGCTAGAAAA